TGTGCTGGCTGGCTGGCTGGCTCGTTTGCACGCAAATGTGTGCTTGTGAAATCTTCACAAAGGCAGACAAAGAGAGAGCATAAGAAAAGACGATAAAGCAAGCAAGAATCAGGGGTACAGAAATAGAGAATGCGGTGCAGGCTGGTATGGAAACAGAGTGGAAAAGCAATCACATTAATCCAGGTATGAATTGAAAAAGGAAAATAACTGGATGAATGTAGTTGTTCAGTCTCGGTTCATTCTGTTCGCCAGTCCCCTTTGATGGCTCCTGATTTGCCAGTTTCTCCACAAGTGGCTGCAAGTCTGAAGGCACATCGCTCATCGAAAGGACAGAATTGCAAGTGAGACTTCTTCGCCAGACGACCCAATTCCGTTGGTACCAAAAGGGGGCTCGGGTCTAACAACCTTTCCGAGTGGGCCTGATCGCCCACTCTGAGATGGCGTCTTCATAAAGTGACTCTGGAAGCGGGAGAAATGACAAATTCGCCTTCAAGTATTTACTTCAGATTAAACAGCTTGCCAATCTTTGTGCTCTCCCTAGCGTAGGGACACAAATTCTCGTGGTCATGGCAACAACAGTCTTGATTTCATCATTTTGTACACCAGAATAACTTGGCTGCTATGACGTTGATAAGTTATGGTCGCTTTACTATTAGCAAAAGTATCATTAAATTTGCCAAAATGTTTTCTCAAAAATCAGTGACCTTCGGCTTTTGCTCAGCTCACATGACAACAATTCCAGACCCGTAACAGTTGTTCATCAACCTGAGGCGAGGTCGGAATGGCAAAAGTGTCCGGAGGCACCAAATAAATTTCACTTCATAGCGAGTCCGGCTCCACAGTCCATTGAAGCCTACACAAACGTCAGGCCTTTGTTGGTCAAAAGCGATTTTGTCAACGACCTCAGAAACCCAAATGTCTACCAACGCAGCAGACCAACGTGATTTTTAGAAAAGTGTTCTACTCATCTTGTATTCACGGCAAAACGATTATCCAACTCGAATTTGTGAAGCCATCTACAGTGCCGATGCTTCAAGACGTGACATATTCCACGTCATGGAAGGCCTCAGAGACGAACCCACATTCATGCTCTTCGTTGTGATGAGCCTCAAGGGCACACATAATTCTGCTTGGCGATTTTACAGTAAAAGTTACTTCCAAAGTCATGTGATGTTTGATGAATTGGCCTTGGCTCCGGGCCACAGGAACTACTGGACGAACGACAGACCTGTTCGAGACCGACATTCGAGGGAGGCTTGAAGGAGGATGCTTCGTCCAATTCTTGCAAACTCTGCTGCAAAATGGTGACAGGCTCTATTGCTTTCACTCGTCGAGTAGGCAGGCCTGAGGCTAACTTGGCACATGTACACAGGACTTAATTTGATGAGTCTTGGACAGTATCAGTAGAATTTGCCAGACAGACGACCGACATGAGGCAGAGGATAAAGGCATAAATTATGGCTCAAAAGCGGAGAGCAGCCAATGGGAGGCGCGGATGTAGTAGGCAGACATACCAACACCATTAAAAGACCCTATTGTCCACATACATGCATACTTTCGATGTAAGTAGTTTTAGAGACTATCAGTAAGCCTTGGTCGTTTGGGCTGATTTAAGGACTGATAGTTAAGTTTTCCCATTATCTAAAGCCTGCTCATCTGACTGTGGGAGAATTTAACTTTCAGTCGTTAAATTACTTCAAACGACCTAGGCTGACTAAGCTCTTATTCGCATATCTACAGTTAGAAACATGGACAGAACTCAACTCAGGTCGCTTCAGATGAGGCAAAGACCAATAAATACATTTTCCACAATGAAATTGGTTGAATAATGTACAATTCTAATCAATTTACCTAATTCCCTTAAAGTTAGTCAAATTCGAATCATTTGCATTTTTATCGTGTTAATGTGCAGATAAGGTAAACTATTATTTGCCATTTCCTTACTCCATACTACTTTATTCCAAGTAAGTAGGCTTCGAGAAGTGAATGAGCTCATTTGGAAGATTCGGGCACATTGATTGAAGTTGGACTAATTACTTTGTGGGAATTTCAACTATCAGTCTTGTTATCATACTAATAGACTTAAGGCATATATGAATCTCATTCAAGATGTACTGAATGTCTCTACACCTACTCCACTGGCGGATTTTTGATTTTGAACCATCAGGAAGTTGATTGTTGTTGATGTTTTACAGTCTCGATTAGTTTCCTTTTCGACTGATAGCAAATCTGTACAGGAGACATCGAAGAAAAGGCTTGATTTAGCCTTTATATGGAATCGAAACAAAAACTGTCACTCCACCAACTGATAATCATCGAGAAAGGCTTGCTCGTCGTGTAAGACCCATTGGCTAGTGACATACATGACTTTCCGTTTCGAATGAAAAATTGTATTTAAATGGTCTCACCGGAAACCGAAGGAGGATTGCCGCGCAGTGAAGACTGTTGGATTGTGCAAAGAGGACTTTGGCTCTCTGTTCTACTACTCCGAT